GGGGCCACAGAAGGCAACTATGGGGCCACTGAAGGTAGCAACTGGGCCACGTAGGACAGTGAGGGGGACACAAATGGCGACAGCGGGGCCACGAAGGGCATGCACATGGGGCCACAACGGGCGCGACTCCTGGGTGCCTGGGTGTCGGGAGCGCGGCGCTTGGGCAAATTGCAAGAAATTCAAACGCAAGGCCATTCTTCAGTAAATTGCAAGCAAGTCTCCAGCGAGAGCGCGACTCCAGAGCGCCGGGAGAGCGATTCCTGAATAGATTGTGTAAGGAAGTCCGAAGCGAGAGCGCGATGCCTGAATAAAATGCGAGGAAGTCTCGGGCGGGAGCGGGGGTCCTGGCTAAATTGTAGGGAAGTCTCAGGCGGGAGCCGCTGTTGTTGTAACCCGGGGGCCAGGGGCCCAGTTTGAGCATCAAGACTTTCCCTATCAAAAAACAAGGTGCGAGCGTCGAGGGGCACACTTTGATTGAGAAAAAACAGTATGCACCGGTGGGGAGGATCAACAATACTTATTCTTCAGAAATCAGAATTCAACAACAGCGACGAGGACGACGAAGACGACAACGATGACGCCCTGGCCGGCCCGCCGCCGAACGCTGCCAGACGCTGCCGAGGGCCACATCCCGCGAGCCCGTCTGCGGGGCTCGCGGGGCCCGGGCCGACCAGTGCACGGGGCGGCCCTGGACGATGCGCATCAGGGAAGGCCGCACGGTGAGAGAGAGCACTGTTTTCACGACGGCATGACGCCAAATACCAAGAAAGTGTTATCGCATGCGTGATGGCTACCAGGATGGAGGTCGTGGTTCACCACGCACACAGCACCGCGGCCCTGCGTACGGCACGCCCCCCACACAGAGGAAGAATGCTGTCTCGTCTTGCCTCGAGGCCGTGCGCTGCCACGGTGTTGCTCTCTGGGCAGCCCAGCGTACACTCGCGAGAGGACCCTAAGCAGCTGGCGACATTGGATTCATCTTGTCCCCGATCGTACGTAAGGACCACATCCCAGAAATAATTTCGAGCACCTGGAAAAGTGTCGAAACAGTGTCGAAAGAATGTCGGACGAGCGTCTCCCAGGGCCCAACACGTGAAAGGCTTCGAGCTTCGGTATATTGTTGGTGCTCGATATTCTGTCTGGTGGTCAAGGCTGAAGCATGTTGGAACATCAAAACATTTGTTTTGTTTATCTGTGTAGGCGCCGCGCGAGCACGGCGGCTTCATGCACGCATTCAAAGCCGCGGGACCAGCGCGGGGTCCCGCGGGGTCCAGCGGCGCCCGCTCACCGCCCGATCATCTCCATGAACGAGGCGCAGAGCTGGGCGACGTCACGGTCGCGGCGCTCTCGATCCAGGCGCGCACGCCGCCGTACGAACGGCTGCTGGCCCGTGGCCTCTGCAGAAACCAGCAGAAGCATGTGGGCCGAGGCCGTCCAGACCAGCTTCTCTGCCAGGCAGTCCTCCTGCAGCAGCTCCTCGTCATCGAGCGCGATGCACTGCTGCCCAATCTCGGGATCGGCACCGCCGTCCCCTTGGCTGCCCTGGTCCTCCGTGAGGCCGTGTGCCCTTGGCTGCCGCTGGTCCTCCTGCCCTGGAACATCATAACATTGGATAAGGAAACGTTGGATAAGGAATCCAGGGTCTGGAAGCTGGTGGAACTCCAATACTGGATTGGCCATGCATACCACCGCGGCCCCCCCTCAGATCATGGGAGGCCGTACGGTCGGCATGTTTGCTCGGCGGGTCGAGGCGGCGCCCAAGAAACACGTCGGCCCGAGAGACACGATATCTCGTACAAGCTGATAGCGTGTCGCTACGTTCCGCGGGTCCGCGGGGCGGGAGAGGCTGGGAAGGCTCGCTGCGCTGACGCTTGGCAGCCAGGACGCGGCTAGGCGAGTCGCGCCGCGGCGTGGTGGGCCAGGACCGGCAGCGCGACACGCTGAGCCAAGGCTCCCGACAGCATCGGGCCTCGGGTGGTCTGAACGTCCAGGTGTGGCCCCAGGGCTCGTTCGGAGCCCTCGCTTCCTCCGCCTCCTCCCTGCCTGCCATCCTCCCGCTCGTCAGGGGCAGGGAGCAAGGGGGGAGGATGGGGAGAGGAGAGAGGAGAGGAGAAGAGAGGAGAGGGAGAAAGGAGGGAGAAAGGGGAGAGGAGAGGGAGAAAGAAGGGAGGAGAGGGGAGAAGGGGAGGGAGGGAGGGAGAGAGTCAACCGAGCCCTCGGGCGGGCCTCCGCGTCCGCCCAGAGAGGCGTTCTGGCGGCCCGGACTCTCGTTCGAACGCCCAGGATCGTCCCGAGCGTGGGCGGTCGAGGGAGCCCGCGGGCGTGAGCGTGGAGCGCGTGGGTGGCTACTGAACCTGATCGCAATTTATCCCTATAGCCCTTATAGCCCAATAGCCCAATAGCCCTATAGCATCATAACCTTATAGCTTTATAGCCCTACGACCCCATAACCCCAACAAAAATCTGATTGGGTTTTTTCTCCGGGTCATTTATCGAGAGGCTGATGATTTCGTTACCGAACTGTAGAGAGGAAGGCACCCGGTGGACACATCAACGAGTCGAATGCAGCGGCAACGTGCTTCTTGTGATTATTCCGTCTCTTCAGAAGCCAGGTGTCCGGCGAGAAGGCTGTAAATAGCCCATTAAGCGAGACTGCTATGGTAACGGGCTCATCCGCACTGGTATGTGCTGCGATGTCCAAGAGCTTCGCGATGCCTGGTGCCATGACCTTCGATAACAGACCGTGCTGGACGAGAACAAAAGCCAACAAACTCCTTCGACATGTCCCCTGCATGACCATGAACATTCAACGCGAATATTCCTCTCCTGGCCGCTCACATCCCGTGTTGGTGCCCATGCCCCCGCAGAAACTTAAAAAATGGGTTTTGTCAAGAGTGGCGTCCGCCAGCTTAGTTTCCAAGACGAAGCATGCACCTGTCTTGCGGCCATCGAACGTGCCGCAGTGTTGCGGGATGCATACGCACACCTCGAGCATGATGGATTTACTTGCCTGGCACGTTGAGACAGCGGCAACACGACCTGCCTGCGCGATGCGCAAAGGCTTGAGTTCCACAGCGGCCATGTGACGCGATGCAGAAGCTTAGATCGTTACCGGCGTGGACGCGCTGCAAAGACATCGCGCCTAAATGATTTGATACAGAATAGCTGCACCGTGGAGAGGGGAAGCAGAAGCAAACATGAGAGTGGCAAAGGCGGGGGTGCTGCTGATGAATGTCTGTCTTTCGGACTTCCGCTGGCCCTTCTGGGCGCTCGACCGTCACAATGGATGACATGTAGCCGACGCTTCGTGGATCTCCCGCTGCGTCGTTGATAGTCGTGGTTATGAGCTTGTCGATGTGATCGATCTCGGCGTTGAACTCTGGCGGAGACCTTGTTACCATGTGCCGCTCCGCTGTCTGTTGGAGGGCCTGGAAGGCGACCTCACGGGCAGTGGTGAACCTTTGACCACGCCGTGATCGACCGCCTCGACGAAGTTGGCAGCCCAATGCAACCGACGCTTCAGCTGCGAATCCAGTCCCCGCATCGCCGTGGCATCACCGGTCCCTGAACAATTTCGACCATGTGGTCGGTGTCCGCAGAGATGTCGTTATCAGACTTGGGCTTGCCACAACTTGGCGGCGCGCACAAGGGAGTGGAGGGAGATGGGAGGGCTTCTTAGAAAGAGGCTGCTTCTTATTAAAGGGCGCTGGCCCTGCATCTACAGACAAGGCCCACGCCTTCTAAGAAGCAGGGGTGCTTCTAAGAAGTCCTCCCCCCTCCCCCCACCCCATCTGCGCGTGGCTGAACAACGCAAATCGCTCCCAAGCGTGATGCCGTCCTCTATAAGTTCCATGAGAGCCAGGCGGGCCCGCACGCGTCATGAAAGGAGCACCTCCAGGGGATAATCCTCAAACCCTGTGGCCCTCACTGTCATTCTCGATTGGGAGGGAATCGTCCGTGGGCTCAACCAGCGCATGGACGTCGGCCTCACAGGGCCATCACGTCGTCGCCTGTCTGAACGCGACGCGGCTCAGGGCAAAACTCCTCAAGAGTACTCCAGATTTCGTAATAAAAGGGAGGGGGTCTGGACCCTCCAAGACAAGCCATTTCAGACCCCCCCCCGTGGAAGAACCCTCCAAAACATCGTCCCCAGACCCCCCCAGGCCCTCCAAGATAGCTTGGAAAAGACCCCCCCCGAAATGAGACCCCCTCCCTTTTATTACGAAATCTGGAGTAATTTGCAACGGATTGGCGTCGTAGTCACCTGCCGTGACATCCAGCGTCACACCATCAGGCACGGCAAATGAACGATGATCGCTCTCCTCCTCTCTCATCCTCCGGTTGCCTCTCCCTGTCCTCCTTCCCCCTCCACCTCCCTCCTCCTCCCTCCTCCTCCTTCCTCCTCCCTCCTCCCCCTCCTCCTCCTCCTCCCTCATCCTCCTCCTCCTCCTCCTCCTCCTCCATCCTCCTCCATCCTCCTCCTCGCTCGCCGCCCTCCTCCTCCTCCTCCTCCGCCTCCTCCGCCTCCCCTCCTCCTCCTCCTCCACCCCTCCGCCTCCTCCTCCTCCCCCTCCTCCGCCTCCACCCCATCCGCCTCCTCCTCCTCCGCCGCATCCACCTCCTCTTACGTTAGACCAACCTGAGCGTGAAGCTGTGGCGTATCATCCTCTTTTTCCTCCTCCTCCATCTCCTCCTCTCCTCCTCCTCCCGCTCCTCCTCCTTCTCCTCCTCCGCCTGCTCCTCCTCCTCTTACGTTAGACGTTAGACCAACCTGAGCGTGAAGCTTTGGCGTTATCCTCCTCTTCCTCCTCCTCCTCAACCTCCTCCTCCGCCTCCTCCTCCTCCGCCTCCTCCTCTTACGTTAGGACCAACCTGAGCGTGAAGCTTTGGCGTTATCCTCCTCCTCCTCCTCCTCCTCCACACAATCTGGCGAGCTCGGACCCCAACTCGGTTGACTCTGGCTCTCGCTGGGCGGGCCCTGAGCGGGGCCGTCGGGTCGGGCGGGCGGGCACGAAAGCGGGCGGCCCGGTCGGGTCCCGGTCGGGTCGGCCTCCTTTAACTGACGACGACGACGACGACGACGACGCCGACGAGGGCGACGACCACGACCACGACCACGACGACGACGACGATCACGGCGACGACGACGACGACGAGGGCGAAGACGACGACGACGACGACGACGACCACGATCACGACCACGACCACGACCACGACCACGACCACGACGACGATGACGGCGACGACGACGATGACGGCGACGACGACGACGACGACGACGACGACGACGGCGAGGACGACGGCGACGGCGACGGCGACGACAACGACGACGACGACGAGCGACGTTGTCCTGGAACTGCGCCGCGTACATGTCTAGCCTCAGGGCAATCAGCGCCCTGGTAACCGCCTTCTGGGCGACAGAGGGGGGCCATCCCTGAGATCCTCCTCCCTCGTCTTCCACCGCCCTCTTCTGACTCCACCTCCGCCGCCTCCTCCTCCTCCTCCTCCTCCTCCTCCTCCTCCTCCTCCTCCTCATCTTCATCCGCTTTCTTTCTCGTCATTGGGCGGCAAGCGAAGGGGGGGGGAGTGGAGTGAGAAGGAGAAGGCCTTCTCAGAGGGCGGCGGGACACCTCAGAAGCCCTCGCGCCTGCTGAGAAGTCCTCGGTGCCTCTTCGGGGAGCGCTTGGAAACCCTGCCGGAAGGCCGCGGAGGACGTCCGAGCCTTCTGAGAGGGCCCGCCCCTGCTCGCCTCCCCCCCATGGGCTCGCCGCCAAACGATCACCCGCCGTCCGCCTGGACCCTGCCTGCTGCTCCTCGTGGCCTGCCCCGGGGCGAGCGCCACACGCCACTGATGTTGGGTCGGGCCTGTCCCCCCGACAGGCCGATTTGCGAGGAACAACTAAAGTCAGAGAAAGCATGGTTTTACACAATAGTCCCCTGGCTATTGTTCTACATCGTTAACTATAAAGGGGCCCTGGGACACACAAATAAATACACACAACTAAAAAGACTCCCCCATAGTTTCCCATATGTTCGGGGTTCTTGTCTTCCCCCCCACTTCCCTTATCTTCCCACATATATATATATATTCCTGGGAATCGGCGATGAATTGTGTCTGTGTTTTTTCCCCTCCTGAAGCTATCCTTCCTGTAGAGAGGGGCGGGCCCGACAGGCCGAGCTTCGAGGAAAAACTAATTTGAAAAAATGGTTTTAACCGATAGTCCCCTGATTATTTTTGGACATGTTTAACTATTCTTCCTGTAGAGGGACAGGCCCATTTTCGAGGAAAAACTAAACTCAACAAAAACACATGGTTTTAAACAATAGTCCCCTGACAATGTTTGGACATGTTTGAACGATTCTTCCTGACTAGTTTGGGCTAAAATACAAACAAGCATGGTGTTAAACGATAGTCCCCTGACTATGTTTGGACATATTTAGCAATTCTTCCTGTAGAGGTCGGGAGCGGCCAAGAGGGGGGTGTCCAAGAGGGGGGGGTGCAAATCATGACCGGCGGCATGTGCGCGGCCCAACGGGGGGGGCCAGGGACGCAATTAGATAAGAAGAGGCGCCATGAAATCTGGGAAACGTCATGGCCCCCGCCATGATATCCCCCCCCCCACCAGTCATCACCCCCCTCTTTGCCGCCCCCGACCTCTATGAGATGAATGGCCGAAGCAGGGGATGGGACACCCAGGACGGCCGCCAGGGAAAGCAGCCACGCAGAGTACATCATAGATTTAAGTCGGGCCTGTCCCCCTCCAGGCGGATGTTGGGCGAAAAACTGAAAAAAACAAAAAACAAAAATGAAAAAAGAAATCTGGGGAAATATCATGGCCCCCGCCATGATATCCACCCCCCCTAGTCATCACCCCCCTCTTTTCCGCCCCCGAAGAGGGGCAGGCCCGATTCGGCACCGATGTCGGGCGCTTAGGCGGCCGTCGGTCGCACCGCTCGGGGGGGCAGCGCCGGGCTCGAGCGACGGGGCGGGAGAGGCCAGGCTCGCCCGCGCCCCAACATCACGTGGGCAACGGCGAGCGAGGGGGGGTAGTGAGAAGGCCCTCCTCCTCCTCCTCCTCCTCCTCCTCCCCCTCTCCTCCTCCTTCTCCTCCTCCTCCTCCTCCTCCTCCTCCTCCTCCTCCTCCCCCTCCTCCTCCTCCTCCTCCCACTCACCTCCTCCTCCTCCTCCTCCTCCTCCTCCTCCTCCTCCTCTGTCCTCCTGACTATTCTTCCTGTAGAGGGGCAGGCCCGATCTAACACCGACGTCGGGCGCTGAAGCGGCCGTCGGTTGGTCGCACCGCTCGGGGGGGCAGCGCCGGGCTCTCGGGCGACGGGGCGGGCCCGCGCCCCAAAACCCACAGAGGGAGGAGGCCTGCGCCGCCCATCGGCGGCGAGCGAGGCCCTCCTCCTCCTCCTCCTCCTCCCTCCTCCTCCTCCTCCTCCTCCTCCTCCTCCTCCACCTCCTCCTCCTCCTCCTCCCTCCTCCTGCTCTCCCTCCTC